GCTTCAAAGTTCATGATAGTCGATCTTTCGAAAATATGCCTTCTAGCAATGAAATATCACTACCTTATTTTAAAAAGGCTGGTTAATCCTTCCAACAACCTATCGTGGTTTTGCAAATTGACACGGAGCTTCTTATCAACGACTGCAATCAAGAACATCAAAGTGATTGGCCATCTAATTGAAGGTAACCAAGTAACAATAAAACGCTTAAACTCCATAGTAAATATATGTTTTTTACTTACTTATTGTCCTACTCACATATTTTTCGACCCTTAACTGTCATTGCATGTTCTTTGGTCAACCATCTGTTCTTATCATCTTTAAACTACATACCAAGAAACCAGTACCCTATAACAGGTACCATTAGTTACGTTCATCGCAGCGTAATAAAGTAGAACATTATCTAACCCAAAACACAAAAGCTTTGGCTATCTGGACAGTGTGTTCTAACAGTTTGCAATATAGAACTTAGATTAAAGCAATACTCAGGCTCACCACAAACGTAAGAGAGCCTAGCATCACAAAAGCAGGGAGGGTAGCGTTATCGACTAGCAAACATGAAGGTGGGGAGGTAGCAACTATCCACCCATGTCTGCAGAGTAGAACATTTCTTTAAATTGAGACTCCTCATGGTCTAGAAAGATGAAACCAACCAATGGTATTGATGCTTATTTCTTTTGCCAACTACCTCTTCGACTCATGTCTGTAACCTTGATTTGGTTCCACCTTATACCGAAAAATCTTATTACGAGCAACACTGAACAATTGTGCTAAATTAGAGTCCGCTTATGACTTCACAAAAGTCATAATATTAAAAACGAGTTACAATTAATCCGATGGGAGAAATACTTCTGCATCCAAACGGTGTGCTTTCTTCACGAAAGCTTATTCATTTATTTATTTGAACACATGAATACTGGTGCAAGGAGGCACCAAATATATATGAGTCACACAATAACAATGAGAATGAGAAGAGAAAAAGAATATAAGACGCGCATAAGAGGGAAGAAACAAAGAGAACAACAACGACCACAGATTAGTGTATGGTAGTGTCATAATAATTGTAATAGTGGGGGAAAAACGGTACAACCAGAAAGAATTATTTCAGCTAAAGAAGTCTCAACCACGTTTTATAAAGAAAGTAAAAGAAGGTTACAGCCGGACCGCCACTGGCTTCTATGCTGAGCCATATCTGACAACGTCTCTACCCACTGTGTTACACCATCTCTCAGACCCCAGCCAGGGAGTTGTGAAGGACCAACACAAGCCCGCCCTTTGCAGCTTTCTTTCATACCACGACACCATGTCATACACTGACCACCTCTCCGCTTTTTCAAACCAGTCCCAGAGTCGGTAAATAATGCACGACGAGGAATTCTCTGGGACGACATTCGTAGAACATGTCCAAGCCACCGAAGTCAATGTTTCAAGATGGTGACAACAATTGCATTATCGTATCTGTGCCAGAACATAAGATGCCGAAACTCTGCATTACTAACATGGTGTTGCCACTTGATGTCAGCAATCCTTCGGACACAGCCATGATCGGACACAGAGAGACGTCTAACATCCTTAACTCGGAGAGGCCAGGCTTCACAAGCATAGAGCAAAACTCCTCTCACCGATGCGTTGTCGATCCGACCTTTTACGGCTAGTCTGACATCACGAAGACGCCAAAGATGGCCCAGATTGGCATAAGCCGCTCGTAGTGTCGGCTATTATGTTAAGCCATGTACCTTATTCTAGCATTCGGACAAACCAATTTATTCACTTCATTTAAGTTACATTTTGACCTTGTTAATTATTCGCCTATCAATGTTGACTGTTTTTATATGAACGCATATGTGTGTATATACTTCTTATCCCATTACTCATCACATGTCTGTAAACAACTTTTTGCAACTATAAATATTGATTAACGCTTGACTAAATGAAGTTCGCTTACCTGTCATCTCCACTGCGCGTCGTTTCTCTTCTCCCTATTCCATTCACTTCATATACAAAATATATGTATTCAAAAGTCCGTTCTCGTTATTTGATTTATTTAGTTCCGTTATTGACTAACGCGATTTAAGTCAATGATTATATGCGAGGATAGACGATGTACATATTTCGACAGCAATCATTCATACGATCAAATTGGAGTCAGACTTGGGGCCACTAAAGTAAAGAGCCTGTCAGCAAACATCGTCCGGTCTAAATGACGACAAAATAAAGGGCCTCACGCGCACTTTTTTCACAATACGTGCATTGATCTCATCAGCCACGCCACCACTAGCATTTAAATAGATACACGAAATTCTCGACTACTTCTATTTGCTCATTACCCAGGGTGAGTACAGGATCAGGGTCCTGCCAGTCTTGTGAGGAGATGCAGTCCCATGGTAGTCGGTGACCAACAATTGGTTCATACGCCATTTGTTCCCTCAGGATCCTGGAGCTCATGTGTACCATTGGTTTGTAATCAGGGTTTTCCAACTCCCCTACGTGGACTCAGCGTGTCCACCGGTCGGGTTGAAGCGCCGGACATTCGTTTTTTGTCTTCTCAATTTTGTAAAAACACCCCCACCACGAGAAGGCAGTGAGTAGAACTTCCCCGGCAGTATTTGTATGCACGTGGCCATTTGAGAGCATTCCGAGAGGCAAAATGCTCCTTCTCCACTCTCGGCCATTCACACAATCCTTTGCTTTATATGCATGATACGTTGTCACATTTTCTTTAACCCGTTAAAATATGCTTGCTTAGAAGCTTCCGTAATAACAGGAAATAAGTCTAAGTAGCCACACCTTAACTACTTCATCAAGAGTGACTAAACTTTGCTAGACATGAACACTGTTTGTCCTGCTTCTCGCCCTTTTCTTTTCCCGTCTCTTTTTCAACACTCGTGGTATACCATCAAAACACATGTGTTGAACACATGACTTCGTCCTGTACCGTCATTAGTACATCCGATATTTATCTGTGGACACTATCACAAAACACTAAACCACACATTAACGTTGATATTTTTAACCGACTGGTTATCAGGGCTCAGTAGCTAAGTGAACAAATCGATGGTGTTCGAAGCGAATACCACTAGGATCGAGTCCCGGAGTAAACATCAACTCGGATGCGGGTACATCCAGCTGGCGAGCCCTAAATGGGACGAAACGCACGTTCTAAATTCCACTGCTAGCCACCATCCATCTTCGTTTCTAATTCTTGGGTAGTTGTTTCGGTTTGAGGTTAGAGTTCTTTGCTGGCAGTAGGTATTGTGATACCGAATCCTCTCTCTCATTGTCGTTTAAATCTTGACAAGTTTTAGACAACTGCCTCATGATCCGTATAAGACACAGATATTCTGGCTTGCAACATGCATCGGGAATGCGTAATGGCTCAGTAAATCACGAGAGGTTTTGATTCTGGTTCTAATTTCAAATCGACAAAACCTTCGAAATTCAATATGGGTTAATAAGAAATATAATGCATATACAAAATAAGGAAGCAAACAAATACTTGTACTACAATGTTTTGACATTACCAACATATTTTTGGCCAACTCCTAACTTATTAACTGAAACGACATTTACCTACTTATTTTCGAACGAAAATACGGAAATTCAATCTATGGGATTTTATAAATATTTTTCCTTCTATTACTTACATTAGTTTTTGGAAAACGGTTAATTTAAATTGGGGTTGTATAACTCTGCACTATCCATATCTGTAAGTAAAATTAGGAATTATGTTGATCCAACAGATTCTCCTGTAATATCTAAGTAATTTCAAACTGTCCATCAATGAACTGGTTCTAAATGAACTGAAGAAGTGATTACACCTATGTTAATGTCATTGAAATTGTTTGAAGTGGCTGTCACGTTGTCAGCATTATGTGGTCAAAATTTGTGTAAATTGATTATGGTTGAGTTAGCATTACTCATAGGTTAAAATAATTGATTACATTCTACTTTAATTAGGAAATGCTCTTCGCTGCTGATTTTGCTTAGTTTATTAACCATATTACTTGCAGATATTGAGTAACTCACGTTATTTCACTTATTATACCGCACCTGGAAACCAGAAAGAATTAGATAGACATTTCTTCCTAGTTTGTCATTTTCTCAGTGCTCATTACCTATATAACTATAAGAGAAACCTGCTTTGATTTGAGTACACATTGATGTTTTATAAGCCTCAACAGTGGAGTTTTGTATTGTATATTGTCATTAATAACACTAACATTTTATTGAAAAGTTTTCTTAGATTAAGATTCTGTGTGATTTAACCATCTTTCAGTCATTTTAAAAACTTTTATTTCATTTAAGGTAGATGAAATACATGGATCAAAACAAATGAAGTCAGTCTCAGATAACGTAAATGAGTAAGAACAGTCAGAACAACTGAGTATAATTTCACCTTAACTTACGATGAGAGTATCCATGTAAATCTTGCCTTTGATTATACTAACATTAATAACGATGACAACTCTCTTGTCTTTAACCGTTGCTCGAATATATTAGACGAATCGGCAAAAAAGATAAAAAGCTCAGGTAACGAGAAAAAGGGTGGTTGAAATCATATTTAAAAGAACTTAACTGCCGTGTGGTAATGTTAATCAAGAATCAGGTTTGGATTATTCAGTTACTAAATCAGCGTGAAGGTGATGACTTACCTGAACTCCTTACTGAAAGTCGGACTATAACCACTTTTATGGCTCAATTCGCTGGTTGTGATGTCTGATTTACCCTAAATTGAACTAGCTAAATTTGACAGATCACTTTTTAAATTTGGACCTGTGTAAAGATATTGAGAGTGAATTCTACAAACAATGTTAGCTAAGATACCTGATGGATTCCTTCAAGACTTGTTGTAAGATAAGATATATTGCAAAGTAAAGAATGGTTCTAACTGGTACTGTTACACAAACTTACAAAGCATTCCAATTTAAATAGGTATAAATTGATGACTATATCCAGATGAGAACATTAAAGCCTCAATTCCATGATTTGCAAGAAATTCTAGCAAAACAAGTATCAGAATATATTTATAACTTTTGAATAACTGCTGCCAAATGAAATGAAAATAATTTGAATGAAACGATACAATTCGATTTATAACTATGTATGAGGAATAGCTTATAGAGAGTAAATATGAAATCACGGATTACCATTTAGTTAAAACAAACTTTACATTGTACACATTAACAGCTATAAAGTGTTGATTTATTTCTGTGACTTAAAAATTGCACAGAGATTGAATAGAATATGAATAAATATATTACTGACACCAGTACAGCATACAATATATAATAGGAGGGAAGCATCCGTGGAGAGTATTCAATTATCAGCTGCTGACCAATAAATAACAGGACCTGATAAAAATTTTAAATAGAGAAAAACATGCTTTTGATGTCACAGTAAACTAAGAGAGAAATAAAATACAATTCTACTAGTTGAGGTTCTCGTTTATAAAGTTCACATGTGCATGTAAGCAATAGGCAGTTTCTATTTCACTGCTTTTGGTTAATAAAATGATCATCTAACTATTTCAATTGTCTGATTGTTCTTTAATAAACGACGAATTTTTCATTTCACTCACTCGTTATTCAATAATAATTTTTTTCAAAGGTTGAGATCATGAGTCAGTTGAAGTTTGACCACCATGAAAGCAGTGACTAGTGGAGTTCAACCGGGTCTGTTGTGAGATAGTAACTCACTGAAGACAATAGTGGATGTGTTGCTCAATTTCATGGATAAGTTGAATTTAGACATTAACACCGTTGGATGCCGGTCAGCCCTGTGGTCTAGTGCTTAAGCAGTAGCGCGTGAGACTGGCAGGTCCTGAATGCGAATCTAGCGAGATTGAATCGTAGGTGAGCACTGATGAGAAGTCCCACACTAGGACGAAACGGCCGTCCAGTGCTTCGAGGTTTTCCATGGTGGTCTAGCTTTAATTGACTTACGTTCCCAACTATTAGAATTATTATCAGTTGTTCTACTATAATCGCACTATCAGTTTTTTGTTCTGTTTAACTTACTGGTAAAACTGACACGATAAAAAATGTTCCCATGATATGAAGTGATACCTAAAGAGAAAAAAACAATCCCAATGAAAAATGATGAAATGTCTTACGGGGCTACCAAGATGTATCGATATCCTGTTTTTAACCAGATACGCAAAATTACTCCTTCAGTATTCATTATTGCATAAATATTAGAAATTTAAGACCTAAGAAATATTTTCATGAAGCATAATCTTCAATCAAAATCTACTCAGTGGTAATTCTAGAAAATGTCTGTATATCAAACAGCTAGTTCAAATACACTAACCTTGTAGTCAACTTTGTTGGAAGCACGGATTAAGATTATATCTGATACGTTACTGAAAAAGACTAAATAAACCATCATTTACATTCACTGATGCAAGTCATTATGCAGAAACACCTCGAACAGTCAGATCGTTTTTCAACGAATATGTAGATTGAGCAGTGATATGTAATGCTACATTCTTATCGTGGTTTGAATTACAAATAAAAAATGATGATACAATAATTCAATACGCATATGTTAGTCAGCATTGGTTCAGCCATTTTACATCCTGTGTACAGACAGATTGACAATTTTCAAGGAGAAATTAAACGGGATCTGTGATACAATTTCAAACTAAACATGTGTTAGCTGATTAACACTACTCGTCAGCGTATGTAATGTATTAAATAATGGACCCTATATATGAAACAACTTAGAGTATTTTTTAGATTCCATTGAACATTTGAAGATATATTCTAAGAAAACAAGTCATTCAGGATTGGTGGTACTGTGTTAGCTGAATTTCTCCAGTTGAAGTCAAGACCGTATTAGTGATAATATAGATAAACAAATAAAAATGGAGAAAAATGAGATGGAATTATTCAGTAACTACTATATCACTGTGGATAACAATTTCAATTATTCATTTCTATAATACTAGGTATTTGGGTCACTGACAAGTGTAGACGCAAACATCAAACACTATACAACATTACAAATTCACATTTATCAGTATCATTCAGTTAAAATTACATTTTATGAAACGTACTTCTTTGTGGGTAAAATACAATGCAACAGACATTGCAAGCCCTGCAATAATAAAACTGCTTAAAACAGTAATCAATAAAACAGGAGGAATTTTAAACTTGATGAACATCCCGAGTATTATCATTGAAAATGTAATAACTGCTGCGGCACTAAAGGATATCATGATATATTCAATTGTTATCCCTAGTATTGGTGGTACAAATGCGTAACATAATAACAGAGTCTATTATTCCAGCAAAAGAAAGAAAACAATTTCACAAATGAGAAAATAGAAATTCATGAATAATACAATTCAAAAGAAAACCTATGAAATGTCAGTACTTGTAATATAGATTTCATTGAAAACTTACATAGTTCATTACAGATTGAGTTTATCAGTTTTTCTAAGTATGAAATAGATTTTAATCAGAGAAGGATATTTGTGGACATTATAGTAATTTAATAGTTGAATTCATGAGTCAATTAAAGCTAGACCACCATGGAGAACCTGGAAGTACTGGATTTTATCGATATATTGATTACGATAACAATCATATCAGGACTTTGAGAGTTGGTTAAATGAAATCTACCACTACCACTTTATGTAGTAAAAGCTATAAGTTCACAAGATAGACAAACATCATCCTCCATTGCGAAACATTTGATTGAGACTGGTCATAAGGTTGATATCAAGTCAGCATTTGTAGTGTTGTACAAAAGCCTTCAAGTACATATACTAAGGTTTATTGAAGCCTTGGTTATACGGAAACTGAAACCCCCTTTATGCGTTCAAAAACAATTTGTCCTTACCCTTAACCTACCTTGGTAACACTGATTTATTATTCAGAGTGGTTATCACATTGTTTTTGTGTACTTTATTAATTTTTTTATCTGTTAAGGCTTACCTTTAACCTGTCTAGTTGACCTTTTAATTAAAAATGTTTTTAACAAGTACATGTGTGATTAGATTGTTTGAAATGTGTTGAGCAAATATATATCACATAGTTCTGATAAACTTCGTCTTCTCATTGTATTATCGGAAAGCTATATAGTTCAAGAAAGTAAGTCTATTAACAGGGATGAACTACTTGTTGATAAAATTATTTGGACTAAATTGTTAATTTCAATAGTTGAAATCATGAGTCGATTGAAGCTAGACCACCATGGAAAACGTGGATTGATTGAAGTTAGACATTAACACCGTTGGATGCCTGCTCAGTGGTTAAGCGTTCACGCGTGAGACTGATAGGTCCTGGGTTTGAACCTCGCGTGGGACAGGATCGTGGATGCGCACTGCTGAGGGCGAAACGGTCGTCCAGTACTTCCAGTTTTTCCATGGTGGTCTAGCTTCAATCGACTCATGATTTCAACTATTGAAATTACTAAAATCTCCACAAAAACCCCTTCTGATACTAAATTATTACTTGAACACTCAAATGAAAATTATAATTTATCAAAGTAGAAGAATCTAAGTTAAAGCAACGTCCTTAAACCAAATGAATTTGTTGGTTTTATTTACAACTGTTAATTTATTTTTCAAAATAATTTAGTTATTCATTTAAATTCATATATATTGATTGCTTAGATTTTCCCACTAATGTTTACCTCTGCAATTAATCAGTCTCTTTTGGCATATATGGATCCTTTGCGGATTGCCTAGATATATAACGTTTTAAAGCAAAAGGTACTAGGTTCGAGTCTTGAAGTGAATATCAATTACGGGATGCAGGTACATTCAGCTAACGTGTTCCAAGTTGGATAAAACCCATACTCCGGATTTCACTGCTTGAATTTAATCACTATTTGGTAACACATATCAATTAAGAGTTTTTAAAGACAAATTATTTCATATAAACATTTAAATCAAATTAGTTCATCCTAATATCACTGATCATTTGACAATAAACAGAATATGGGATATTTCAATGAACATAATGTACAATTTAAATACATTAAAAACTTACATTTAAAAACAAGAAGATATAATTAATTGGGAAACGTGCACGCATATCACGAACAGTGACCATTAGAAGTGAGAAAATTGTGGAACTTGGTCTGATTTTAATATTAAATGAAAACATATTTAAATAATTATAAGTTCTAAGTCACTGGTACAACAAATGAAATAATTTTACAGAATGAGTAACTTAAGCAGCCAGTATCAATAAATAAATAAATAAAGCAAGTTGATAGATATCATTATCAAGGTTTAATTTGACAGTTTCTTATAAATTGAACATTGAACAGACTGTAATAAGTAGAAAAACTGATCTTTATAATGTTTCACAATACACTGTAAACTAATTCTTCAGTAGATCAATAAATAAACAGATTAAATTAATCCAGGTGACAGCTGTTTAGTGTATTAGATTGATTCTGTGTAAACATAATTTTCAATTGCGAAATGACAAATAGTATTCTGTGTACACGTAAATTCATGAGTTCCACACTTGCGAATCACATAACTGTACTCAATGAACATTGTGTGCAATCCAATGAACGACTCTGGTGATGAATGTTTTTTCCTTAATACAGATTCTGTAGTCAAGTGAATGAAATTGATAAGAATGTAATTTGTGTGGATTGCAATTCTTTTTTTTTTTGTATCAGAACTAGTTAAGGTGACCAGATCAACGTCATGTTACAAAAAAGCTTTTCCAACTACAATGAAAGACAAGTAGCTATAGCTATCCACATATTGATAAATCCTTTTGTAATCATTTGAAAAAAAGCCTTAGTATCTATCCGACTTAGTTCATCTACCCATATATTTAATTCTATTGACATCTTACATTATTATCTTATGTACAAAATCAACTCTATTACAAAGGTCATATTTTTTACACTAATTAACATGCACACAAATACACATAAGCATGTTTCGTCTAAAATCACAGTGATCAGAGTTCTAACTAGTAATACTAAGTACTTTTGTTTTGTTTTTTCGTACTACGTAAACTTAAGTTAATTTAGCATGCTTGTTTATTGATTCTCTGAAGAAGTGGCCTACACTTAGTCACTAAACACTTGAAAATCTAATTTTTCAAATCATTTAGATATTTTATAGTTGAATTCATGAGCCAATTGAAGTTAGACTACCATGGAAAACCTGGTGTGGGACTTCTCAGTAGAGCGCATCCACGACACCGCTCGCGAGGTTCGAACACAGGACATACCGGTCTCACGCGCGAACGTTTAAAATCTACACTACTGAACCGGCATCCAAATGTGTTAATGTCTAACTTCAACTAATCCACGAAGGTGAGTGACACATGCATTATTGTCTTCAGTGAGTTACTATCTCACAACAGACCCGATTGAACTTCACTGGTCACTGCATCTCACTTGAACTCCAGGATATACCTATTGAAGTCTTTCACTCGTGAGCATATGATGATTGTTATCAGAAGGGGCTTTTATGGAGATTTTAGTAACTTTACAGTTATCACAAATATATTACTATTATGAACCTAGTTAATGTTACGTCAAAATGTAAATGGATTCTAATCTTTCATTTTATCAATAAGATGTATTTATATTAACATCTATATTTCGAATTTTTACAATTTGAGTGGATGAACAATGTCATTATCATACTATGAATATTAAATAGTAAGTAATATGAAGTGGTTAAATATTGATAAATCTTCCTGCTAAACTCTCGAGTTGGTTTCCTAAACTCTTCTAATAATTCCAGATTAAATCTACACGACAGTTTGAACACGAGAGAAAAGACGCAAAATATGGAAAGAACGCTTTTCTTCAAGGTTACTTCACGTGCGAAGAATTGAGGGTACTTATAGCATTTCAGACGAACTTGAGCATCTGTAAGGTTCTAGAAACCTACTAAAGATAGCAGTATGATGGGCAGTCATTCACTCAGAAATGTAACAGGAGGCTCTTCACTTCCTGGATGTTTCCAAGAAACGTCTGTGCAATGCTGATTGGATAAAATGTTTTTCAGTATTTTCAGGGCCCCTCTAAGTTTCTTCCAAGGAAAACTCTGGGTCTCTCCAAAACTTTCTGACTTTCAAAAAATAAGACTTCTTCTGGTCTACTTGCAGCTTGATAACTGGTTTGCGGTGACTTTCCATTCTTTTTATTGTCTTTCTTGTCCAAGTCTTCATTCTTCTATTCTTTCCTGTATTCTTGTAAATATGTGTCGTTCGTGTTTCGATGTTTAACTCTAATTGTAGGTTCACCTAGCTGTCTCCAGTGTGCGACATTCTTCTATCTTTGTAAATTTGGTTGATGTGTCAGACACACGCCTCGAAGGCTCCTCGGATCCTACACAAAACTCTTCCCAATATGTGTACAGTTGTTACTGGTTCCATTAGGTTCTTTCTGAGGTATGACTTGACGAACACTTTATCGCCAACACTAAAAATTCGGATATTTGGATGTTGTCTGTGCCCATACACTACTTTAGGTGGTAACATAGCGTTGTAAATATTTCCAATAACTCTTCCAAACATGACTTCTTCAGGGGACTTCTCAACAGAGACAGTAGGGTTGGGAAAAGTTTTGTTAGCCGTTAATAATTTTGATGACCTGACTAGTTGTCCCCTCATCTCCTCCATTAATAAATGCTCTTTTAAAAGTATCGCAAAGAGTTCTGCTTGTTTATTTGATCGGAGACGGTAGAGCGGAGAGCGTAAATGTGTTATTTCATATATACTACAGAAGTGCTTGAATGAGTCCGAAATGAATTGTGAGCCATTATCAGTCACCAAGTTCTCTGAAGCTCCGAAACAACTGAACAAAGTAGATAACTTGTTGATAGTTTTTGAGGCTGTACAGTTGGGCGTACTATATACTTCTGACCACTTCATAAATGCCTCCACGGTAACTACAAACACTTTACTTTGGACTCGACCAGCAAAATCTGCATGAAGTCTGTCTCAGGGTCCAGCAGGCTTAGGCTAATGTTGCTGTTCTCATTTCAAAGGGTGTTTAGTAGCTTGCAGACACGATGAACAGTTACGGCATTTGTCATAGATATCTCAGTCCCTTGAGGGTCAATAAATATGACCTCGATCCAGCAATTTTATCATGTTGATCCCAGGGTAACCATTGTGGAATCTCTTGAGATCCTTATGGTGCAATAATTCTGGAATAACAATTCAGTCACTGAACATAATACATGAGTCGACAGCCATCAGTGAGTCACGTCGACGGAAGTACTTCAAAAGTTCTTCCTCGAAGCGATGGTTTGGCCATTTATTGACCACCACTATCAGTGCAGCCGAATTTGAGAAATTCACGGGTTCAGTAACACCCATTTTCTAAAACCATTCAAGTTCATGTTCAACCACTTAAAGAGCTGTATAAAGCACAGATCTTTTAGGTCAATAAACGGGAATAGCTCTAAATAGAAATTTCAACAGTCATTAAACTATGCAGTCTTACAAAACCTCTTTTGACAACACAACCGTTTATGTGACTTAATCACCGTAATATAATGATAGCGCATTAAACTTCTTAATTACACCTATTTATTGCTATGATTTCCTTACATTTTATTTCATAACTATAAATCATATATTTATACAAATATTCGTCAAGATTAGAAATTGGGCGCCTAGTATAGAGAAGTCATTATATATGTAAATTATATTTGAAATAATCTCAGCGATTAAAATTTAAATAATTCCAACGTTTCGCCCAGCTAACCCTGAAGAAGACCAGACAAGTTAGCTGGACGAAACGTTAGAATTATTTAAATCTCAATCGCTGAGATTATTTCAAATATACACATCACATAATTGATTGTTTATTTGAAATACTAAAAAATTTCATGGATTAGTTGAAATTAGACATTAACACCATTGGATGACGGCTAACTCAATAGTCTAGAAGTTAAACCTTTGCACGCGAAACTGAAAATCCTAAGCTCGAATCCCATGAGAGGGACGAAACAGTCATCTAATGCTTACAGGTTTTCAATAGTTCTTTAACATCAATCAAATCATGATATCAATGAAATACTAAAAGAAAAAAAACAGAAAAAATTCTAGGAAATAATAAATTAATTTCTTTTTCTTTTGATTGAGATCATGAATCGACTGGTGTTAGACCACCGTTGGAAACCAGGAAGCATTGGACGGCCGTTTCGTCTTAGTATGGGACTCCTCAGCAGTGCTCGCCTACGATCCCGCCCCCCGCGGTATTCGAACCCAGGACCTTCAGTCTCGCACGCGAACGCTTAACATACTGGACCACTGAGCCGGCATCCAATGGTGTTAGTGTCTAACATCAACCAATCCACGAAATGGCGCGACCATCCTCCATTGTCAACATAAATTCATTAGTGACTAGCTTCGTGAGGGAATTCTCGGAGTTCTAGTGAGAAGCCGTAACCAGTGGAGCTAATCCGTGTCGAATAGAGACAGGTATTTACCTCAGTACAATCGAGGATGGTCACGCAATTTCGTGGATTGGTTGATGTTAGACACTAACACCATTGGATGCCGGCTCAGTGGTCGAGTATGTTAAGCGTTCGCGTGCGAGACTGAAGGTCCTGAGTTCGGATCCCGCGGGGGGCGGGATCGTGGATGCGCACTGCTGAGGAGTCCCATACTAGGACGAAACGGCCGTCCAATGCTTCCAGGTTTCCAACGGTGGTCTAACATCAGTCGATTCATGATCTCAATCAAAAAAAAACTTAACAATCTCCACAACCGCAATACTGAAAATTAATTTCTATCACTTACATTAAACCTATTAGATACCATTTATATTGATCAATATTCTTACATTGATCACAACTAAAATATAATTTATTAGTTACAATAATTAAAACTTACAATTTACACATGAGTATTGTAGTAATAATTATTTCAATTAAAGATAAACAAATAATTATAAAGAACTATGGTATTTTATTGAAATGAATTAATTTCTATTAAATCATTAGGTTTACTTTATTTAAATCTACATTAGATGATGATAATTTCCATTTATTGACATATTTATTATTTTGTTTAAATAACATTCTATTTGTAATGTATGGTCTATCTAATTATCTACAATTGAATAATCAACATTAAAATAATAAACATATTAATATTCATTGAATAAGGTAATAATATTTATATTATAGAGAATGTATTTATTAATAATCATGAAAGATATCAATTATTTTAAGGTTATTATCATTGATTATTCACTTTTAAATGTTTGTATAAAGTGATTAGATGATACATTGATTGATCACTGAATAGTTGGTGATCAATGTTATGTATGTCAATTCCTTCTTAGTGCAGATCGAATGCTATCAACCAAGTTGCAATGTGACCAGTAGTTTAGATGACTTGAGATTGCATACACTATGTTGAGATTAGATGGTGGTTAGAGGAAACCATGGACTCGGGTTTCGTGCTACTTGGCACTCATCAGCAAAGTGTACTTGTAATCTAGAGAGAACTGATGCTCCCTAATGGATTTGATCCCATGTCACCCAGCTTCACAGTGAGAGACGTTACATGACATTGGTAATCACCCAGTGATCAATCAATTGTGAATACATCTCAGTCCTACAAGAGGTCGGTCGCGGCCCGAATATCCCAGTGGTAACGTCTTTGA